GACGGATGGATGGATGGATGGATGGATGGATGGATGGACGGATGGATGATGGGTGGATGATGGACGGATGGATGGATGGATGGATGGATGATGGGTGGATGATGGACGGACGGATGGACGGATGGATGGATGGATGGATGATGGGTGGATGATGGACGGACGGATGGATGGATGATGGGTGGATGATGGACGGATAGATGGATGGATGGACGGATGGATGGATGGATGGACGGATGGATGGATGATGGGTGGATGATGGACGGACGGATGGATGGATGGATGGACGGATGGATGGATGGATGATGGGTGGATGATGGACGGATGGATGGATGGATGGATGATGGGTGGATGATGGACGGATGGATGGATGGATGATGGGTGGATGATGGACGGATGGATGGATGGATGATGGGTGGATGATGGACGGACGGACGGATGGATGGATGGATGGATGGATGGATGATGGGTGGATGATGGACGGACGGATGGATGGATGGTTGGACGGACGGATGGATGGATGATGGATGGATGATGGACGGACGGATGGATGGGTGGATGATGGGTGGATGATGGACGGACGGATGGATGGATGGATGGACGGACGGATGGGTGGATGATGGACGGATGGACAGATGGATGATGGGTGGATGATGGACGGATGGATGGATGGATGATGGGTGGATGATGGACGGACGGATGGATGGATGGATGGATGGATGGACGGACGGATGGATGGATGATGGATGGATGATGGACGGACGGATGGATGGATGGATGATGGGTGGATGATGGACGGACGGATGGATGGATGGATGGACGGACGGATGGGTGGATGATGGACGGATGGACGAATGGATGGATGATGGGTGGATGATGGACGGATGGATGGATGGATGATGGGTGGATGATGGACGGATGGATGGATGATGGGTGGATGATGGACGGATGGATGGATGGATGGATGATGGGTGGATGATGGACGGATGAATGGATGGATGATGGGTGGATGATGGACGCATGGATGGATGGATGATGGGTGGATGATGGACGGATGGACGGATGGATGGATGGATGGATGGATGGATGGATGGATGGATGATGGGTGGATGATGGACGGATGGATGGATGGATGATGGGTGGATGATGGACGGATGGATGGATGGATGATGGGTGGATGATGGACGGACGGATGGATGGATGGTTGGACGGACGGATGGATGGATGATGGATGGATGATGGACGGACGGATGGATGGGTGGATGATGGGTGGATGATGGACGGATGGATGGATGGATGATGGGTGGATGATGGACGGATGGATGGATGGATGATGGGTGGATGATGGACGGACGGATGGATGGATGGATGGATGGACGGACGAATGGATGGATGATGGGTGGATGATGGACGGACGGATGGATGGATGGATGATGGGTGGATGATGGATGGACGGACGAATGGATGGATGATGGGTGGATGATGGACGGACGGATGGATGGATGGATGGATGGACGGACGAATGGATGGATGATGGATGGATGATGGACGGACGGATGGATGGATGGATGATGGGTGGATGATGGACGGACGGATGGATGGATGGATGGACGGACGGATGGGTGGATGATGGACGGATGGACGGATGGATGGATGATGGGTGGATGATGGACGGATGGATGGATGGATGATGGGTGGATGATGGACGGATGGATGGATGATGGGTGGATGATGGACGGATGGATGGATGGATGGATGATGGGTGGATGATGGACGGATGGATGGATGGATGATGGGTGGATGATGGACGGATGGATGGATGGATGATGGGTGGATGATGGACGGATGGACGGATGGATGGATGGATGGAAGGATGGATGATGGGTGGATGATGGACGGATGGATGGATGGATGATGGGTGGATGATGGACGGATGGATGGATGGATGATGGGTGGATGATGGACGGACGGATGGATGGATGGTTGGACGGACGGATGGATGGATGATGGATGGATGATGGACGGACGGATGGATGGGTGGATGATGGACGGATGGATGGATGGATGATGGGTGGATGATGGACGGATGGACGGACGGATGGATGGATGGATGGATGGAAGGACGGATGATGAATGGATGGATGGATGATGGGTGGATGGATAGACGGATGGACGGACGGACGGGTTTGTTTTACTAGGAGATTATGAGGAAAATTTTAAAATTTAGTAAAAGAAAATCAGAAACGGATTAAAGAAAAATAAACTTCCTTACTAGCTTGGTTATCTTGGTAAATAAAAACAATATAAAAATCAAAGGATTTTCCTTCCTAACAAATGCAACACTTAATTGCTTCTAAGTACTCTGTATATATTTTCCCATGTTTAGTAGCTTTCTTTGGTATTTATCACGCAATGCTTGTTTTGTCCCTAATGTTCAGCAAATCAGAAGCATTTTTGAAACAATCTTTGGCTTTTCAAATGAATGTTTCCATAAATCTAATTGCTGCATATCCACGTATTAAACACTTTGGGATAAATGAATACATGATTAGAGTTCATCACCTTTGTTCAGAGCAGCGTGATCGGCAGGCCGGAGGGGATTCAACTGATGAGTCATTAGACACTCCAGACCTGGCTTGATCTTAGAGAAAATGATTTGCTGTCATTCTGTCATAACCACAAGATTTCTGAAGCATTTCATTTTACCGTAACACACAGTGAAATGTCAATTTTCTTGCCAAACCCATCAAGACCCATGTGTCCTGTTCTTAAAAGCCTCAGACCCTCTGCATCCATTGGACCAATGTCTCTCGCCGCCACTGTCATCATTATTAAGCTAGAAAAAAAACTAAACTTTGCAACTAATTTTGAATCTCGTGCTTTTCTGTGGCTTATGTGAACTTTCCAAGATGCGTGCCATCTGTGGAGTGAGGCGAATGTCAGCGTTGTCAGTGGGATTGCGGATATGCGGTGTGACTAATACAGACGCTCATCAGACAGGCAGCCGGTTTTATATGCTAGTCCTCTTTGGGGACGACAATGATCCTCGGCTACAAAAACATTCATAGAAAACCCCATAATGATTCAACGCATTTTCATTAGAGGGATATTAACAAGTTATTATTCCCAAATACCTTTTATTTTCTATCTGATAAATGTTATCTCAAGAAATTGTTGTCTGATCCTTACCAACGAAAATGGCACCAAACAGACCCATGCCATGGGCGGTCCTAGACAGGGGCCAACGGGGGCCAGTGCCCCTGTAGATCATGTCCTGGCCCCTGTACTGAAGACATAATACTCAAAGAACTTCTAATGATGATCTGCGCTGGAACAGACATGCTTTCTGATCATTCTTTTGGATCTATGTCATTTTTTTTCTTTACAAATTCTGTTTTACTGATTATTTTTAAACAATTTTGTTTTAGATTGTTTTTATCTGTTTATGGACCATAATTGTGTCTAAATAAAGAGATTGATTGATTGATTGATTGATTGATTGATTGATTGATTGATTGATTGATTGATTGATTGATTGATTGATTGATTGATTGATTGATTGTTTGATTGATTGATTAAAGGAATAGTACACCCAAAACATGATTAGCCTTCATTTTCTACTCACCCCCATGCTGAACAACACTCTGGAGTACTTTTTTGATATCTCAAATGCATCTGGAGATCTGGGAGGCTTCTTGCTGTCTGCTGACATTCAAATAATGGAGGTCTATGGCGTCCGAGGCAGAAAGGTCCATAAAAGTCCACAAAAAACGTGTCAATATTCCTCCATACTGCTCGTCCAATGTATTCCAAGTGTCCTGAGTGGGTAGCGTCCAGAATTTACTCGAAACGAAGTCATTTAGAATGTTTTTAGAGCATAAACAGTAGTGTATAGGATTTCCTGAATTAATTATTCGTTAATAATCCGTTTAATTGAAAAGGAAAATTAACAACAGACTACTCGATTAGCAAAATAGCCGTTAGTTGAGATGTATCTCATGGGCGTCTGTCTACCTGGAAAGTTTGACCTGCTCCTCGCTTTCATCTGTGAGGCGTTTAAATGTGTTCTTGCATGTAAAACCCATGTAAACCACAATCGTCCTCAGCTGGTTCTGCTGGAGGTTGTTGGGATCTGGAGGTTTGTCCACTTTCTCCACCAGAGGGCGTACGAGATCTCCTGGAGCCTGAGCCGACCGCACCACCTGTGTCCCATCTGCTCATCAGGAGATCTGTACTTAAGGAGGCGGAGGGCTTCACTTCCGCCTCTGCCCTCAGCCTGCCGACAACCTCTGGACCCTCAAGGTTCCCCCCCTCTGCAGCTCTGCTCCACTCCAGAACAGGTACTGACCTGAACACTCTCAACCTGCAAAATACCTGGACCTCCACTAATCTCTCTGTCCTCCTCAGCAGTGAACCCACTCGGGACCAGTCAAGCCCCCTCTTGGATCTGATCAAACTGTGTACATTTATTGTAAATAAATCTTTGAACTTTTCTTCTGCCTCCGAGTGTTCTGCATGTGGGTTAGACACATTAATCCGAACATGACAGAGGTTTCTTCCTGTTAAAATGGAGTTTTTCTTCTTCATTGTCACTACATGCATGCTTAGTGTGAGGGATTGCTTTCAAGTCAATGAGTCGATGCAATCAGCTAGTTTTCCTTAGATATTCCTTATGATCTGGTTTAATTGTTTTTATAGAGTCCCTTGAGACGACATGTGTTCTGAATTGCCGCTATATAAGTAAACCGACTTTAATTGAATGGATTCAATTAGAGTCAGTCCTGAGAGCAAAATTTGAGCATTGACTGGTGCTGCTGCTGCATAACATCAGTCAGATAATCCAGCTGTGCTCACTTCAACAAACCGAAGGACACCCGTCTAACTGACTGAGGTTCAAAATGCTCAGAAACTATGGTTCAAATCATCGTCACTCAGTCTGGATGAGTGAACGTCTTTATAATTCCTGGTATTAATGAATCTATTGTTTTCTCTTTTCTTTTCAGGTCAACAAAGCAGAGGACAAGTCTCTGGAGGAACGGGGACGGATAATGATTTCTCTCAAGTACAACACCCAGAAGTCCTGCCTGGTAGTAGGCATCATACGCTGCGCACACCTTGCTGCCATGGATGCAAACGGCTTCTCTGACCCCTACGTCAAAACGTCAGTAGACTGGAACGGAGATATTTTATTACATGGAGAAAATTACACAATATTTGAATTTGGTTTAAAATGTTGCTCTCTTAACTAAATCGTTACCGTATTTTCCGGACTATAAGTCACGTTTGTTTTTTTTTCATGGTTTGGCCGGCCATGCGACTTATACTCTGGTGCGTTTTTTTCATCACGAGAGATCACTATGCAGCTTTGCACGCAAAAACATGTATTCTATTAATACCACTGAAAGAAAAACAGTTGCAACTTACCAAATCAAAACAAACTAGCATTACAACAATGACGACTGAATAGAATTATGCATCCCAAAAGAAATTCATATCTGCTCAATTCCAGCTGAAAATATATAAATATCTACTCAAAAATGGCAATGGACTGGAGGGACTGGAGAGAAGCGGAGGAAAGCTAAAGGTTATGATGCAGGACAGAATAACCTTTCAAAAAGGTGCAACTTTTAGTCCGGTGTATCCTATATATGTTTTTCGCCTTCATAATGCATTTTTTGGCTGATGTGACTTGAGTCCGAAAAATATGGTATATCTTCATAGGAAAATCATCTTTTATTTTGCTATGTGCATACAGTGGTGTAGAAAAGGCGTTTGCCCCCCTTCCTCACTTCCTGTGATTTTGCATGTTTGTCACACTTAAGTGTTTCGGAACATCAAACCAGTTTAAACAATAGTCAAGAACAACACAAGTGAACACAAAATGCAATTTGTAAATGAAGGTGTTTATTATTAAAGGAGGAAAAAAATCCAAACCATCATGGCCCTGTGTGAAAAAGTGATTGCCCTCCTTGTTAAAATATACTATAACTCTGGTTTTTAACACCTGAGTTCAATTTCTCTAGCCACACCAGGCCTGATTATTGCCACACCTGTTTTCAATCAAGACATCACTTAAATAGGAGCTGCCTGACCACTAAAAGATCCTTTAAAGCTACCCATCATGCCGAGATCCAAAGAAATTCAGGAACAATTGAGAAAGAAAGTAATTAAGATCTTTCAGTCTGGAAAGGATTAATAGCCATTTTCAAAGTTTTGGGAATCCAGCAAACCAAAGTGCGAGCCGTTATCCACAAACGGCGAAGACATGGAACAGTGGTGAACCTTCCCAGGAGTGGCCGGCCACCCAAAATTACCCCCAGAGCGCAGCGACAACTCATCCAAGAGGTCACAAAAGACCCCACAACAACGTCCAAAGAGCTGCAGGCCTCACTTGCCTCAACTAAGGTCAGCGTTCATGCTTCCACCATCAGAAAAAGACTGGGCAAAAATCAATTCTTCCAAAACACATCATGATGATCCCCAAGACTTTTGGGAAAACATTCTGTGGACCGATGAGACAAAAGTGGAACTCTTTGAAAGGTGTGTGTCCCATTACATCTGGCGTAAAAGGAACACTGCATTTCAGAAAAAGAACATTATACCAACAGTAAAATATGGTGGTGGTAGTGTGATGGTCTGGGGCTGTTTTGCTGCGTCAGGACCTGGAAGACTTGCTGTGATAAATGGAACTATGAATTCTGTTGTCTACCAAAAGATCCTGAAGGAGAATGTCCGACCATCTGTTGGTGAACTCAAGCTGAAACAAACTTGGGTTCTGCAGCAGGACAAAGATCCTAAACACACCAGCAAGTCCACCACTGAATGGCTAAAGATAAAAAAAAATGAAGACTTTGGAGTGGCCTAGCCAAAGTCCTGACCTGAATCCTATTGACATGTTGTGGTATGACCTTAAAAAGGCCGTTCATGCTCAAAAACCTTCCAATGTAACTGAATTAGAACAATTCTGCAAAGATGAGTGGGCCAAAATTCCTCCAGGACGCTGTAAAAGACTCATTGCAAGTTATCGCAAACGCTTGGTTGCAGTTGTTGCTGCTAAGGGTGGCCCAACCAGTTATTAGGTTTAGGGGGCAATCACTTTTTCACACAGGGCCATCATGGTTTGGATCTTTTTCTCCTTTAATGAAAAACACCTTCATTTACAAATTGCATGTTGTGTTTACTTGTGTTGTCCTTGACTATTGTTTAAATTAGTTTGATGTTTCGAAAAAATAAAGTGTGACAAGCATGCAAAAAAACAGGAAATGAGGAAGGGGGTAAACACTTTTTCACACCACTGTATGTATGATTAGATTAACATTTAATCATTTATTTGATCATTTCTAACTAACCCCTCCTCCCACCTTGTTAAAAGAGATTTACATTCCTGCCACATCTGCCTCTGTTGTCTCACTCCAGGAAGAGATAGCACAAGGCACATAAATAGTTTACTTTTTTTCTTGTCAAGATCCCTTTATGGGAAAAAAACATGGATCTAATAAATAGAAAGCTATTTCCACAAAAAAAGGACAAAGGACATCGTTTTAATGCAATAAGTCTTTCTTCACGGTTTAAATATTTATGGATTGAGTGCATTAGGAGGTGAGCGTCACAAGTACTGGTGCCAAGGAGAGACTGATTAGAAAGGCTCCACAATAAAAACACAAAATACATACAAATGAACTGTGTTTCGATAAACTGAGAGCCGTTCATTAAATGCTACAGTCATAGGGGTTTGATTAGCACAGCGAGCAGAGCGGCTTACACATGTAAATGTGACGTTTTTAAAGGAAATATAAGAAAAAGATCAGAAAAATAACAATAAATGAAAACTATTGTTTATCTCTTTGCATAAAAGCTGATTTTATGGATGCATTATGTTTTTGTCTACATGTCACAGGCATTATTTTGACTTTTTATTGATAATTTGTGACAAACCTGCTTTTATGTCTATCCAGCGCCCTCCTCTGGTTCAAACTGGGTAGCTGCAGCTGTTTTTTCAGTTTTGGCTCACCCAATGTTGTGATGTAGCCCAGAGACTTGCTAACTCTATACACGGTGTTTTTGCATAAGCGCATAAGTAAATTAAATGTTTTTACTTTTTATAAAACATGAAAATAATTTAATAAGCTCATAACAATAGTTACGGAAGAGGATTAGGGCCACTGAAAAAAAAAAAAGTTAACTGATTTTTAAATTTTATTTCAGTTTAACATGGGAAAAAAGTCAGAATTCTGAGATTAAAGTCAGAATTCTGACTTTTTTCTCAGAATTCTGACTTTAATCTCAGAATTCTGACTGAATTCTGACAATAAAAAAAGTCAGAATACTGAGGAAAAAAGTCAGAATTCTGACTTTAATCTCAGAATTCTGACTTTTTTCCCATGTTAAACTGAAAAAAAATTTAAAAATCAGTTAACTTTTTTTTTTTTCAGTGGCCCTAATCCTCTTCCGTAAATAGTACATGCTTTTAACTGGGGGAAATACAAGTCTGCATTAGCTGTCCAGTCCATTTTAGGAATTAAAAATTGGGTTTGTGACAATCATATTATCTAAAAGCTATTGGAAAAGCTTTTCATTAAATGCTACAGTCATAGGGATTTGATTAGCGCAGCGAGCAGAGGGGCCTTACATATGTAAATGTGACGTTTTTAAAGGAAATATAAGAAAAAGATCAGAAAAATTACAATAAATGACAACTTCTTTTTATCTCTATGCATAAAAACTGCTTATAGATATATTATGTTTCTTTCTGCTGCTCACAGGCATTATTCTGACAGTTTATTGTTAATTTGTTACAGTCATTCCGAAAACGTTAAAAAAACAATCCACTAGACTTTTTTTTCCAAGGTTGAAGACGTTTCTCTTCCCATCCAGGAAACTTTTTCAATTCAAAATGTCAGAAATAGTGTTGAGTTCCAGGTTTTCTTTTTGCAAATAGAAACGTACGAACGGGTCCACATCTTTGGAATGGGGGTCGTTTAGCTTCTTTGTTAGCCTGCGATAGCTGATACCTGCCTATGTCTCTGAAAGGGGGGGTCGTTAGAGGGAATTGTTGGCCTGGCTGAATAGGCGAGGTCTTCTGTGCCCCTGTACAGCGGTTGGGGTTGCGATGATAGCAGGAAGGAATCAAGTCAATTGCTGCATTGTAGGTTTTTAAAAGCTGAAATCTGAGACTAAAGGCTGATGTATACTTCAAAACGAGGTTGTCTGCATGTGTGTCGCAGAGAACGCAAAGACGTCCCCGCCCCCTCGGCAGACACTCTGCTGCACCTCTCCCAAATTGTAGCTGACTGCAGACTGGAGGCCTCTGATTGGTCAATTCTACATCCGCCTACCGGCTTATTTTGTTTGTATGGCCTCAATTGCAGAAAACAAACCAGCTAGAAGAGCGAGGTGCACGAGAACGCTGGGACCATTTTTCCACCTGGATTCCCGCTCTTTTTTGTCGTCATATTCCTCCGTTGTCGGACAAACTCGCCCCACTTCCTCACCGCCTCTGCTGTATCTAGACCCACAGCGTAAAGCGCAGAACACGCTCAAAATTGAGCATAAATCAAAAATGTCTTCGTCAAGCTCACCGCGACACACTGCTGTGGGAGGATAACCAGCCTTTTAGATACAGTAGGTATGGAGCATTGCAGGCTAACAAACAAGGCTTTTTACTTTGTTGGAATATAAAGTAGGGATGCACGATATTGGGATTTTGGCCGATATCCGATATGCAGATATTTTAAAACTCACGTAGCCGATAACCGATATCGATACCGATGTTAAAGCTGGACAAAAATAAGTAGTCATTGAAAATAGCAGTTTTGTTATCCATTTCTGACACTTTGAAAAATAATAAACTCAAATATATTTTCATATGCTGATATCAAATTGATTTTTAAAAACGCGGTATCGATCTATTTTACTTTCAAAATCTTGTGAAATTTCATCGTTCTGTTACAAACTCTCGTGATATTTTGCAAATTCTTGTGAGATTTTGTTAGTAAAATAGATCGATACCGCGTCAATATATCAACATATAAAAATATGGCAACATTTGGTGAATTTTCGGGGGATTTCGTAGCATAACGATGACATATAGCAATATTTCATTAGTAAAAGAGATTGATATGGTGTTTTTAAATGGCAATATATCAGCACATGAAGATATTG